GGCTGCACTACACAGATTTTCAGTGTAAATAAAACAGCTTGATGCTGCAAGAAGAGGCCACGTAGGGCTTTCATAACTCGATAGGAGAAGTCAATGCCCAGCTTCAAAGCTTCAAAGGACAGGCTGACTCTCTTGTTAGGGGTTAATGCAGTTGGAGACAAAGTTGAAGCCAAAGCTCATTTACCAAATGAGTGGAGAGAACTGGAATTAGCATGAGAACTAGAATTATGATTGGAGCCTAAAGATGGGACTGCACTGATGCAATCTCGTAATAAAAGAGATGAGGAGTTTAATGGATGAGAAGCTGCTTCTAATGGATGAACAACAACAACAACAAAAAGGTAGTTTCTTGAGCTAAAAACTATTCTTGGTGAAAACGCTTGAAAGATTGTTGAAATGACAACAAAGGATTTAGAATATTACATAAACCTAGCTGATAAATCAGCAGCAGAGTTTGAGAGGATTGACTCCAACGTGAAAGAAATTCTGGGGTGGGTAAAAAAAACTATCAAACAGCATCACATGCTATGGAGAAATTATCTGTGTGAGGAAGAGTCGATCAAGGTGGCGAACTTCAGTATTGCCCTATTTTAAGAAATTGCCACAGCCACCCCAACCTTCAGCAACCACCACCTTGATCAGTCGGCAGCCCTCAACATCAAGGCAAGGCCCTCCACCAGCAAAGAGGTGATTTTCTGAAAGCTCAGACGATGGCTAACACTTTTTTAGCAGTGAAGCATTTTAAAATTAACGTATGCATGTTGTTTTTTGTTTACACATAATACTATAGCACACTTAATAGACTACGGTAGAGTATAAACATAACCTTTATATGCACCGGGAAACCAGAACATTCATTTGACTCACTTTATTGTGATACTCTATTGCTGTGGTCTGGAACCAAACCCGCGTATCACTGAGTTATGTCTGTATTGTTGGGTGTGAAAAGAAATGAGCTAATCAAGCCACAGAAAGACAGGGAAAAACTTTAGATGTGTAGTACTCAGTGAAAGAAGCCAATCTGAAAAGGCTACATACAGCATGATTCCAACTGTATAACATTCTGGAAAAGGCAAAACTGCTGGAAAAGTAATAAGATCAGTGGTTGCCAAGGGTTACGGGTGGGGGAGGGAGGGATGATCGGGACAGAACATACAACAGCAAGACCAAAGCCTGATGTAACTATGGGCTTTGCCAAGCTAATGACGTGGTGGTGCGAGTTCACAGGTTGCGCCACAGGTAGCACTCTGGGGCAGGACGCGGAAAGTAGGGGAGGCTGTGTGCGTCAGGAAGAGGGTACCTGGGAGTTGTCTGTACTTTCTGCTCAGTTTTGCTGTGAATGTAAAATTGCTCTAGAAAATGAGGTCGCTGTTCGAAAACTAAGTGATGTTGGGGGCGCTCAGGTTCACACCCTGCCCTGGGGATTTAAGTCTGGAGTGCAAGGGCAGGGCCACCCGGTTTGTTTTCCTGTTTTCAGGGATGGGTGGTCCATCCGTTCTCACTCAGTTTCCTTGACCTGACTCCTGGCAGGGCCTGAAGTTCCTCTCTTTCTTGATCTGAGGGCATTTCCTCAGAGGAAGGCTTATACTCTATTCGGCCACATGTGCCATGGTGTCCCGCAGGTGACGGCTATGGCAGGCACCTATGATATGGTGCTCCCACTCAGGTTTCGAAGTCAGTGTCCTAAATCTGCCTTATGTGATGTCCCAAGACTCCTCCCTCTGACCTGAGACCTCCCAACTTTTCTATTAGCCCTGAGAAGGATAGGAAGCCATCTCTGACTGACAATTATGCCTGGATCTCTCAAGACAGTAGGAAGGATTCTGCGAGGTCTCCACTGATACACAGTGGTCCCTGACCTCTTCAGGATGCTGGCCTTCCTCCTGGCACACCTTGGGAATCCTACCTCTCCTGACCAGAGTCAACCAAGCTCGGGCCGAGCTCTTCACCTTCTCGGCCTGTTACGTGGAAACCAGTTTCAGCCACGTCCTTCCAAGGCTGTTTGGGGACCCTGAGGGCTGACAGCAGGGGACAGGCATCTATGGGCCACACTGTTCTGGGTGGGTGCTTTTGTCATTCCTCATTCAGGGTCCTCAATCTCATACGTGTCAGCGACTTTAGTGACCTGAGGCCACCCTCCTACGGCAGGACTCACCTGTCATTGAGAACCCTGAGGACTAAGTGAGGGGATGCTCACGCTTGGCCTAGCAGGAGCATCCCCTCACATACGGCTCCTGTTTCTTGACGCAAGGCTTCCTGTGAAAGGTCACATCCCTGCAAACTCTGGACTATTTCCCTATAGCAAATCGTTCAGAGATTGGGTCCGTGTCCCAGGAGTGATGCGAGGTAGGAAGCGATAGCACAAGGCAGAGACCCCAGAACAGATGTGCTGTCAAAGAAAAAAAAATACTTTAATCCACTTCTTGAGCAATCACACTTAGTGTTTTATGTATTTATGTAAGTTCTGTTTGAATGAATGTAACTTTCTTTATGGGACGGGTCGTCCAAAATGATTTTGTGAGCTCCTGATCTTCGAGGCTGACTTTGAATATATAGATGATCCTATTGTCACTGAATATTATCTCTTTCTCTCCCTTATTCACACTTCTCAATTATTTTGATATGGTAATTGCTATGGTTATGTATTCCACTCCAGTGTCTTGGGCAAAAAGAGTCCTTTTTAGTACCTGAGATACTTCCTGTAGTAGTGAGAAAAAAGGGGAGTTAAGGACCACGACATCAGCCTCAGGTGCAGAGCAGTGGAAGTGTGGGCTGCAGACTAATTCAGGCCAAGGGTCTAGTTCCAACCCTGTCACTTAGCAGCCACGTGAAATTGGACAGCGATACCAGACTCTGTGAGGCGGTCTTTTCATCTGTGAAATGGGTTTGATGAGCTCTGTTTGGGGACTGGTAGGATGTCCATAATGCATGTAAAGTGCATGGCACATTGTGTGGCCTGTGTTGAGCTTTAAAGGATGCCAGTTCTTACTAGGATTAATTGGTCCCCTGGAGCTTCAACCCATTACAATGATCTCAATTAAATCATTTCTAATTGAGGGGATGTCAGAAACCATGCAGTGCTCCAGAACAAAGACAACTCTATCATACAAAATTGTGCTTGGCAAGGAGCACTAAGTAGTATCTCTCCCATTAAAGTATGTCATTCAATGTTGGCATAAGGTAGACTTCCTTAGTAGATGCAACACAGAGCTCCTAGAATGTGTTTCAAGGCCCCAAAACTTACCTTCCTCTCAGCTGCCATTTGTTTGTTTGATTGCTTATTTATTTATTTACTTATTTATTTAGAGACAGAGACTGTGCAAGTGGGGAAGGGGCAGAGAGAGAGTGAGAGTGAGAGAATCCCAAGCAGGCTCTGCACTGTCAGTGCAAAGCGTGTCGCGGGGCTTGAACCCACAAAACTGTGAGACCATGACCTGAGCCGAAACCAAGAGTTGGACACTTAACGGACTGAGCCACCCAGGCGCCCCTCAGCCACCCTTCTTCCTAAACCACCCTGGCTTTCATTCTTTCACCCACCAACAAAAATCTAGACCTTGCCTGGAGTTTGCCAAATGCCATACAAGGTGACCTAATGTGGATGATGCTTTAGTGGCGTGTGCTTTGGCTCCCCCAACCCAGGGCAACGCGTGCCAGTCCAGGGGATTCTGGGCACCCATGACAAGAGAGCATGCTCTTATTTCGCAGAAACTCTGTGGACATGTTGTAAATAAAACCTCCAATCTGCACACTGCGTTCACCTGCACTGGCAGAAGAGCACAGGACGCACTTGATCCCTGCTTGGGGTGATTTCCCTCTGCTTTCTGCACAATCCCAAAGTAAGTGTTAAGAGCAGTTTGCCATTCTGGGCTTAGTCTTTCAATTCTGAAGCCCGCCACGGGAGGGTCTGGGCCCAGCTCCCTGTGATCACAGCCTCCTGGAGCCCCCCGTGCAGCTAACTTAGAATTACCTCCCCCTGAGGGAACTGCAGTCTCTGAAGACCCAGCACTGCCCTGCTTCAGGCACTGACACTTAACTCCTCTCATCTGGAACCACCTCTCTCCTGTTTTCTCCTGTCTTGTCATGTGTCCTTCTGGTCTGAGAGTGCAGATCACCATTCTTCCTTATATGACAGATGCTTCTCGCCTCTGTGATTTCATGGTCAGTGTCTTGATCTTTTTGTCAGCTCTCCCAGGGCTAACATGAAGCCTTCTAAGAGCATACGCTCCATCAATGTTTGGGGAATAAACGAGCCTGTGAGCAGTGAGTCTAATTCATTAAAATGTGATGCTACATTCTTCCATTAGTCAAACACATGCTGTTATTTAGAATGTTACAAAATACAAAGTGAAAGGAATTAGGAAACCAAATACAGACCATCTTACTCTTCTCCTCCACTTCTTGACTCCATATATTTCACTGCTTAAGTCCTTTTACATTTTCAAGGAAATTCATATTTCAATGCCATGCTACTTTGTACCAGAACACTAAATAAGATGGGCAATTTCCCAGTTTGTTTTATGAAACAGCAACACTCTTTTATTTATTTTTAAAAAAAATTTTTTTTTCAACGTTTATTTATTTTTGGGACAGAGAGAGACAGAGCATGAACGGGGGAGGGGCAGAGAGAGAGGGAGACACAGAATCGGAAACAGGCTCCAGGCTCTGAGCCATCAGCCCAGAGCCTGACGTGGGGCTCGAACTCACGGACCGCAAGATCGTGACCTGGCTGAAGTTGGAGGCTCAACCAACTGCGCCACCCAGGCGCCCCAACAACACTCTAACTTTTAAACTGATAACAAGTGAGGTCAAAATAACCCATAAATTTACACTATAAGGCTAGGTAAGATTTCATTTCAAAATAGCAACATTTGAAAAGTAGCAAAAACTCAAACTGCTGGTAAATCTCCAAATTACCCATACAGAACAGGAGCACCAAGGATTACATGCTGTTCCCTCAGTCACACCCAGGCCTCCACTACTTAGAACACTGACTGCTCTCTTCAGTCACAATGTGAAGGATCGGGCTCGACCTCACTAGGTCGAGCTGCTGGACATGCCCTGGAACATGCACTGGCCGTAGCATCGGTCTCAGCCTGGAGTGTGACTGTGGCTTCGGCTCTTTCTTGCTCATCTCTCAAAGCCTCTTCATACCAAGGGTGGAAGGCACTTGGGACTGTTTGGTTAATCTTGGCCCAAAACTCGAGCACTCTCATCTTGTTGGTCTCGGCGTGGGCTCTGGGGCCCCACAGGAACTCATAGCGTGGAGGATCGCTGTTGGGCACCTGCCGGTACTCCAGGTACTTGAGCTTCACCAAATCTTGGGTGATGAGCTTCTTGGGCTCCCCAAATATGAAGTGCCTCTTCCCCGCATAGACTCTCATTTTACTCAGGAACTCCCAGATCTTCTCTTCGGCAGCACAGTTGCCCTTCAGGAAGATCACGCCCAGGAGATTCATCAGGAGGCCGGTCTTGGGAAACCCCCTGCCACGGTTTATAGTCCCGTTGTTGGGGAGGTTCATTTTGCTGACAAGGACATAGGAATGCTTGGTAGGATCGACTTCTTTTAAGTCAACACCAAAAACCACTTCCAAGCTGAAAGAGGCTCTTTTGAGGATCTCAACGAAGCGATGTTTATGCTTTTTATTGATAAACTTCAGCATATCAGCTTTCATAATGGGCCTTTTCATTCTGCTCATGTGCAACAGGAACTGTACCAAAACACTCGCTGTTTTGCTTACAGGGTCCCCCTGAGACTGCACAATGGAGAGTGGGGACTGGACGGAACTTTGCTTTTTCTCAACTTGGCAGTCGGCTCCTTTGTATGATCTTGTGCGAGAAACACCTGCAGACTTTGTGGTGGCGGACACGGCCCTCTGAGACCTCTTGGGAGCGCTACGTGACCTGGCAGCAGGATTTCTCTGAGTACGAACTTCAAAGGGAGGAGAGGCCGAGGAAGGGAATGCTTGTTCCGTGGCCGCAGGGGCCTGAGCACCCCTCTGAGGCTGGGTCCCACCTTGGGCTTGGTGGCGCTTCTCCCCGGTGCAGAGCTTACTCTTCTGTGCCCGAGGCATGATGACTGTGATCAGGGACAGCAGGTGATCTGGGCATGAGAGAAGAGAGGATGAGAAGGAGTACCTTCAGCTGGGAGAGACCACCTTGGCTTTAACCAAGGCTGCCTCTCAGGTTCTGTGAGGGCACTGCCCTAGGAAACCAATCATAGGGCTCCTGCTATGACCAACCTGTCCTCTGAGAACCACATGGAAGTAATTAAAGTGAGCCTCAGGCTGCAGCCTGCCGGCCCTGCTTGGTGCTTACTGGGGCTGAGAGCGGTGCTGGGTAGGCCGAGTCCTTGCGGAATCTTCTCTGGTATGGAGAATGGGGATCCTCCCAGTTCACATTCAGGACCGTGATAACGGCTTTGGGCAGGGCCGAGCCCCCCTCCTCGGTGCTGCTCTAAATTGACATCTCAAACCCAGGTCCTCATCATCTTGAGACCCCTCAAGGGGAACTAAAGGGGCATCTCAGCCCACTACTGTGACCCACTGCTGACAGTTCTGAGGGAATCTGCTCTGGGGTCATTGGGGTCCTCAGTCCGCGTTCACTTTCCTCACCTTGGCTCTAGGTAGGGCCTGGGACACCTTCTTCTGCTGATCTGATGTTTCTCCCCTCAAACAAAGGCTCTCACCAACCTGATGACATAAGAAATAAAGTTGGGTTCACATACATTTGACTTCCACACCTGGGCTCCTCAGTGCTACAAGCAAGGGGGGCCCTCTATTGTCTCTTTTTGTGGGGGCGGTGAGTGGAACCATCACTCTTTATTCCTCACTCTGATTCCTGTGGAGCCCTGGGTCTCCTCCCTCTGCAGAACTGAGGCCAATAAATCCAACATGCTCATATCTCTGGGACTCTCCAGACAGAAATGAGGCGGGGGGGGGGGGGGGGG